ATATATATATATAGTTCAAATGTATTTCGAAAATAATAAAGAAATTCACATTTTATAATTAAGTGGTCATTTAGGCTCTTTTTTGGAAGAAAAAAAAAAGCTTGTCATTTTTCTAATAGCTTTTTAGAAAATGTGGTTTTTTTGTGAATATCTCTAACTTATAACAATGGTCGGATAGGGACCGATAGAAGAAAGGCAAATGGACTCATTCAACATTCCTCAGTATACACCTAGTCCCAAAGAGGTCAAGAATGAAGTTGAGAAAGAAGGATCATTCTTAATTGATTGTCTTGATGTTTCTGAAGTAACATGGGATTCATCTACAGATAACGACCTCATACGACCAGAAGAATGTAAAGAGTGTGACATTGGAGGATATAGCATGGCAAAATGTATGAGAGCTATAGCCGAACCTTTGCTAGCTAGTCACTTTGGATTGTCCATAACAAATGAGGTATTTATTAGGTATAGGCAGATAATTATTAAATCCATGTCCAAAGAAGAGACCAAGCTCATCAATGTCACTGTATCCATGACAACAAAAGCATGATCTTAAAATTCTTCTGATATTTTTCAGTGTTTGTTGAATGAAGTTATACAACAAAAATGATTCTCTATTTCGTTTTACTATAAGCGTATATCACATTCGGTTCACACATACTCTGTATCCATAAAAAATAGTAAAAATTGTCTCATGAAGAATTAAAACTTTTACCAACACGTATGTGTCTCAATGATATCAAGAGGGTCAAAATAAGTTGAGGGTTTACGTCATGTATGTGACAACGATATAACTTTTAGAGTAGTATTATGGGGTGTGAGAGTTAATGGTTCAAAAAAAGACTTTAAAAATTTTGTTTACATATCACTAATAACCAACAACATGGACAACAACAAAAATAACAATAATGATTCCCCAATCCCATAGTAATGACGTTAGGGAGGTAATAAGTAGACAACCTCTACATGAAACACCCACTGGTTTGGTTTATATAATAAAGTCTGAAGTTCTTTTTTGTTTTTATAACTTGGCCATGGTATATGTGTTCATGGTCGTTACAGGTCTCCATGTAGTTAGTAACTACTTTTTGGGAAAATGGTGATTGTTAATTCAATAGTTGATGATGTTTTGGGCATAAGAAAATGGTACATATGTTTAGTTATAGGGTATGGTACACTTTATAAAGCTATGTCATTAGTTTCACAATGGTATTTGTAGTGCACCATAGATTAAAGCAATGATTGTTGAATCAAATAAGTTTGTAGATATGGAAGGTGTAAATGCTTATCTCACACTAGACAAATTTTCCCCTAGTTGCCAAAGGATATTGGTCATTGCTCTTAAGGACGTAAGGGGAGTTGTTAAATTTGTAGTGTATGGTATTACGTACATATGATTGCCAGTATAATATTTTTTTATGTTCTTAGGAAACCAAGCTGATGTTGGTTGGGAACATCATGACTATTCAGAAAGAATAATATTGGTTCCATGTTGCATGTGGAAAATGTCATCGTAGTGTGGACTCGGATGTCGTTGATAGTGTTAGTGTTGATGAGAGAAGTCTTAGGCGTGTCCAAAGTGCAACACGTCTGGATTTGGTTATGAGTACACGTTACACTTATCTTTTAATTTCTACAATATGTTTGATCTTGTCCTGAATAAACTAACATAAAGTTGACGTTAATTGTTGTAGATATAGGATTCAGGTATAGTTTAAATACAATTATGGCTCCGTATTTTTGGCTTTCTTTGAGCGAGATGCAGACGTATGGTAGGGAAAATTGAAAATGACATGGTTAATGGGTTGCCAGATAATAGGGATGAATATGCATTTTTTGATGAGTTGAATGTGATTGTGTAACGTCCCAAATTTCAAACCAAAATTTTCTTTTTTAAAAGTATAAGTAATATTCATTTTCATAAGAATGAAGTACCAAATAATTTCAAACAACATAACTTAACGTGTGAAATCATTGTATCAGAAGTCTTAAAAGTAGCGGAAGTCTTTAAAACATAAACATCGAAGATGTGCATGCGTCAAGATCAAGTAGGAGCCCTTCCACTGCCAGAAGCACAACCTCAAAAACATTTAATCCACAACTGTAAGAACAAAGGTTAGTGAGTTCCACAAAATACCATGAACCACAATATCTATACAATGCATACAATCAATGGATCACAACCTCTCGTTGTTTTGCAAAATAACTTGTATATATGGACTTACAACCTCTCGTTGTTTCATCATCAACACAAGTCTATAGGTTCACGACCTCTCGCTGTTTTCCATCAACTCTTCATACAGACATATAAACAAATCATACAACCAGGTATAGGAACATAGTATAGACTATATTGGTCTATACATACAACTCTATTCTAACAGTACCTATATCCTAGCATACAAGGATACCAATTGCCCACATAGTACAATGATGAGACTCACCTGAGCAGGAGACTAAAGAGTCATTGTTGCACACATAAATACTTGCAGAAAATAGTCTCTCTGCCCACCAAAATACCAAATAGAGGCCTATACTCAGTCTATAGCTAAAATCCAACAAGTTTGGCCAAAGTGAAACCTTTTCAAAAGTCAAAAAGTTAAGGGACTAGGCCAAGGGCGTTCTGCGCCCCTCCCAGGCACCCGTCGCCGACAAAAATACAAAATAGTAGAGAATTTTGAAAACCCATAGGCGCCCCACACCCTCAATGAGCGCACTGCACCTAAGTAAAAAATATCTTAATAAATATCTTAATTTATTATGTTAGAAAACCAAATTATTTGATCTGAAACTCGTTGATGTCTTAATGGATAAAGTTACCAACTTTATCCATTTGGATGGTCCAAACAAGCAAGATCTAGAACCCTAAGTCAAAAAAGTGCCCAAAATGCACTTATCTTCATGCATGGAGCAAAGAGAGCTCTTGCATGCACTCTTAACTCCATCAAATGATCAGAATTGAATTCAATCATCATCCACGAGCTTTGAAGTTCTTGAAACTCCATGAAACAACCTCAAAGGGACAAAATTTGCTAAAATGAACCAAAAACCCAACAAACTTCTGGATCTATAAATCAAATAAAATAAAGATTGAATATTTTGAACTTACAAATGTATAGAAGAGTAGAGAAAGTTTTTACTACAAGTGTTATGATCCAGTGACCAATCTTTCTTGATTCATTCACTTAACTACACAAAAACACACCAAATTGGGTTTAAGAGAGAAGATAAGCTCGAAACACTTCAAAATAGGCTAGGTTTTGTAACACCCGCATTTTATCCCTAGGTTTTGTAATGGTAAACAATTGCAACCTTTATATTAAGTAAATAAAGAGAATTATTGAGTATTATGTGTTCTATGTGTAGTATACGTGCTTAAAACAATAACCTTGAATGCCTTAGTGAGCTAGTGGATACACTACTCGCATTATGTGTTACGATTATTTCTTTTTCGTACAACTGGTAACAGTTATTCAATTCACAAATATTCATTCGAGGACAGCCACTTCTGATTCATAAAGTTTATTTTTTATATAAACTTCCATTATGAATTGTTTTTCAGAACCCCATGAAAGTCAGAACCAGATACACTTAGAAACGAGGATAACTTAGTTCAAATATCACTCGTACAATACCCATTTCTACTTACTATCTTGGACATATCTCAGAAATGTTGACAGAAACATTGAGTGTAGTCCAGTAAAGCGTGAAATTGTTTAATACATTTAAGTTGATGGGATACATCTAGTGATGACCATCATTACTCACGAGATCATACTTTGCCATGCAACAGAATCATGTCTTCACCAAGAGGAAACCAACCAACAGGCGAGGCACCAATTGTACAGATAGACTCCGCTACTTTTCAGGCTGCGGTCACAGCTGCCGTGACAGCCGTCATGGCACATTTAAATGCTAATAACACCAGCGGAAGCGGTGTCAGTTATACTAATCGCAGTAACAATCAAGGGAACCAGCGAGTGTCGGTTGACAAGGACACCCCAGACCACAAACCTAAGAACAAGAAACGAAAGTTCTGGGATAAAAAGGTGAAAAAGTCAGCTCAAGGTTCTAACAAGAGACGACAGCCCGTGGCTACCCCTGCGATCACAACAACAGTCACAATATCTGGCACTTCATCTGCCACTACAACCTCCGTCAAACGATATGCTGGAAATCTCCCAAAGTGCGAAAAATGCACCTACCACCACAACGGAGCCTGCCGAGAGTTACACTGTAGGAATTGTAACAGAAATGGGCACACTGCCCATTTCTGCAGGGTGCCGACACAGCCAATCTCCCAAGTAAAACAGGTTTGTTTCAAGTGCAGCGAATCTGGACACTTCAGGAAGGAATGTCCAACGGAGAGAAATGACGAAGGAGTTAGCTTCTGCAGAACTCCGACTCAGCACATCCCTTTAACCACCGATGCTGGTATAGTTCAGGTATGCCATGCATGTGGTGAAATGGGACATGCCAAGAGAGACTGCCCAACAGAGAGAGGTGACGAATGAGAAGGAGGAATCTAGCGATAAGACATAAGGGAACAATGAGGAACCCCACTTTTGAAATTTTTGGTACGTCTCCTAAATAGAATTACTTTAAAAAAATTTAATTTATATTTATATAAGATTAAAATTTGGGGAAAACATTTAAAAGTAATTATAATAACTCACTCTTCAGAACAAGTGACAACATTCATAAGAGAACTAAAGATTCGTTCAGGGAAACTGTGCTGGCTTAGTATGTACATCAGGGTTGTGCATAACTAAGATTTCGCAGACTTAGAGTGAGTGATTCCGCCTTAATTACTGTTCCTTGTCTGGCTGTGGATTTAGGGCAGAGTTACTCAGTCGACTGTCTTATTCATCTTAATTATACATAATTTGTATATGCCAGGCGATCATAGTGGTACCGAGGAGGATCGAAACATAAAGTATCGACACTAGTTATCATAACACTTGCACTATTAGTACTCTCTTATCGCGGTACGATTTGTGGCAGTGGTAATATCAAGGAGAAAACAGCAAGCAATAGAACGTTTACATAGAGTATATTGTCGAACACACTCGGGATACACCATCGAATAACAAATATTTCTTTCAAATCGGTCTAATATTTGTTTCTGTAAAGAGTACGTTGTCATCTTTCGTCATGAGTTGGCGTGGTCCTCACCATACTAAGTTCATATGTTTCCATCGCCTTGACCATCAAAACAACTAAACCCTCGTCATTTCGTAACAATTGCCCGACCCAGACCTTAGAATCGTCTACCTCGTATTCTAAACCCCGAAGTACTCATGCGAGGAATACCTTACCCTCCGAAACCTTAACACCGTATACTCAGCAGACCTTACCGAAATACCACTCGTTCAGCAGATGAAGTCCAAGCACAGAGGCTAAGGACGAATACAGCCCACCTATCACTATTAAGTGTATATGCGAGAGTGGTATATAATTATGATTATGCAGATTTAGTATGTGTGTTTCCGCCCTATCTCCTGCTCCTTGTCTGGTTGTGGACCTGGGGCAGAGTCGCACATCCGACCTTCTTACTAATCTTAATTATATACGACTTGTATACACGAGGTAATGATAGATGGACCAGGTATGAATCCTATTATGGAGATTAGGGCAAAGTTACCCAGGTCTACGAGTGGATATTTTGCCAATCAGAGGAGCACAACACCAGTAGTACTGCTAAGAAAGCTAATTTCGGGACAAAATTCCATCTAACGGGGGGATGATGTGACAACCCAAAAATTTTTATCTTGTAGGTCCAACTAATCAACCAAAAGTTAGACTAAATTCCATTACCTTCTAGCCTTGTTAAGGGTCATTTTAAGGGGTTCTAAGCCAAGTACACTTAAGGATTGAGTGTTAGGAAGTATTAGCTCGAGATCAAAAGTCTGCCCCCGAACCAGAAAGCCAACCACATGGGGTTTACGGCCGTAAACTCTATTCACGGCCGTAAACACCCTCCTGGTCGTAAACTCCTTCCATAAGGATGATATTCCTTCATTTTTCATCATTTCTCACAATTCCAAGTCAAGAACTTCCATTCTCTCTCAAGTATCATCAAGAATTACTCCATTTCTCATCCAAATCGTAAGTGATTCTTCCTTTTATTCCTTGATATCCTCCTCAATCTAGTACACCCCTATGATTTCATCCATGAATTCACCACTTTTGTCTAGATCTTCAAGATCGTCATCCTTTCACGAAGAACACACACTTGTTCTTGGTGGCCGTGAACTCCATAAAGCCTTCCAAAGGTGAGTATTTCTTCATAATCTTGTTAACCACTAGAAACACTCAAAGCCTCATGAAACAAACACCCTTTAAGCTTGAACCAAGATTTCAATTTGCATCATTTTGGAGAGTTTACGGCCATGCAATCTCCCTTGGCCGTAAACCCTTCTCAAGATCATCTTAGGTCGTAAACTCCCATGGTCGTGAACACCATGGCCGTGAACTCA